TATTGTTAGTTATCCATTTCCTTGTTAATTATTGGAGTAAACTATTAATTTAATTTAATTTAATTTCAGATTTTTTTAATATATAAACACTATAATATTATATTTTAATTACAATGGTTTTGCCGCTAAAAAATAGAGTATAAGTTTCAAAAAGCATTAATTATTATTTTTTTGGACAGCCCATTAATCACCCTTAAAAATAATTAAAGTTTAGTTTAAACATGAAAGGGCTTTTTTTGAACTACCCACCCAAAGTTCTAAACTGCCTTATCATTGATTTATATTGTCTAACCAAATAATCAAAATGGAATTTGGCCCTCTAAATGCCTTCATGGTTTTGAAATTAAATAAAGAAGACTGAGGCTTGTTCTTATTCTTCTTAAGAGGAAAATTACTAAAAACATGAACTTCAAGAAGCAATATGTAAAAGCAGAAATAAAAAGGATAGTACTATGGCTAGAAAAGTTAATTGAATATAATCCCAGCATCTTGTTCACATAAACCTCCAAACCTAGGATCTACAAGGAAAATAAATTTAAATATGAATAATCTAATCCCAATGAAAAGCAGAGTTCCAATTAATTGAAAAGATTACAATAGGCATGCCTAGTAGACAAATTAAGCATAATCTAATTAAGCAACCATCAAAAAATGAAGCAAAATAGACTTACTTAAGCCCCAATAATCAATGACCCAAGGTGAAGATTTCCTTGTTGCAACTCAATCAGACTTAGCCAACTCTATTGATTTATATTGTGATCCAATAAGCCATTTATATTGCTGGAAAAGTAAAAAACATAAACAATATGTTATACCCATCCAGCTCTTTAAAACAAATCTAAGTTCAACTATGAAAAACAGAAAGAATATCCAAGTTAAAGTACTATTTAGTTTTTATATTTTCATGGCAATTGTCTTCTCATAACAATTTTTTTTCTTCTAAGATCTAACCTAAAAATTTTCAATCTTGAACAAGATTACAAAGTTATTTTAAAATTTCAAAATAACTAACATTTAATTTATAACAAGGAACCATGAACAGACCTCACCTACTTAGCAACACTATGAAAGATACGAGAATAAATTTCATTTCAGCATATATGGTTTAGTATCGATAAAGACCATATCATTTCTTGCTAACCAAATAGACCCCAAATTAGCATGCATCTCATCACACTGTAAGACCTCCACTACTGAAAGAACATATCAATAAAGCATATAACTACCCAAGAAACACCCACTAGCACATAATGTTAGAATTTAAAAAAAAAATGGTTAAAAGAGCATATTTCATAACAGATTTGAAGTGAGTTTCATATGAAAATTAATTTTCAACATAAATCCTTTAATATGAAATATTATATCTTATGGTTTTCAAAAACATAATGACTAACTTATAAAATCATAAATAATGCATAGACTAAATTATAATGTACTCTAATTATTATCTCTTAAAACCTATAACTTAATAGGAATCTATATGGTTAGGACATAATTTTTCTACAAAACCGAGCCTTTGCATAAAATGAAATTCCAATGAGATGCTTTTAGTTCAAAGAGCAAAACAACAAGGTACAAAAAGCATAGCATAAATAACTTAGCTATAAATAAACCTAGCTAACAAAAAGTCATATCAAGGGAAAATTAGTCTAGGACTAAGAATTCACAACAAGGAACTACTGACTTCCTAGCAACAATCAAAATAAATTTGTAGTTAATTGATATATTACTTAGTCATCTTCAGGTTTCATTTTGGTCTCATAATTTCCATCTAAAAAGAAACTTAATATCAAATTTAATGAAAGAAAATCATTCAATTAATTTTTTTATATACAAACTAGAATTGAATAAGGAAAGGAAAAAAATAGTCCTATACCCTGAAAAGTTAATTGAATATAACCAACATACAAACTGGAATTGAATAAGGAAATAAAAAAAAACAGTCCTATGCCCTAAAAATTGAAATATGCATATTTAAATTTTGATACAAAAGAATCAATACATACCACTTAATCCCGTCTTTGGTAGTTATTGCAATATCTGAATTTTGTTTGCTGAAAACAGGAACTCCATCAACCCTCCTACTCCCATAGCTATGTGGAATAGTCTTGAGAAGTTGGTGTGCTGCCTTGACTTGTGACAGCATAAATCAGATAAACAGAATTATGAATGTATCACAATAAACACAACTTTATGAATACAATAAGTGTGTATAAGTTTTGCAACTAAAACTAATAATTGCATATTTTGAAAAAATATTTACAAAAATCAGCAACCACCACATCCTAGTAAGTTGGATTGGCTGTGACTAAAAGGCAGCACTAAAACTTTGCAAGCATGCTCAATCAAATTACAAGAAGAAGAAAAGAAGCACTTGGACTGCTACAGAAGAAGAAAATCATCACAGGTTAACTAGTTGCTAGACTCTATAGATTTTAATAGCATCCATACGCTGCTGTAACACTTAAAAATTATAGAAGTAGAGCATTACAAGATAAAAAGTTGAAGCAACAGGGTACATAAGAAGATGAAGGAGAAGAATTACGGGTGCTGAAGACACGAAAAAGATGAAATGTTTGGGATAAAGGAAAATCAAATCGATGAAGAGAGGGTGATTTTTCTACAGTTATGGATCGATGTTATTAGAGATGAAGGAGACTGGAAGAGTGGAAGATCATTAATTTTCATTTGTTGGTTTTGTTAATTGGTCTATGTTTGCATTTCGGTGTGGGGGGAGAGTACTGGTGTAGATTTACCAATGCCAGCAAAAAATAAACAGTTGAGATTTTATCTTAGTAAGTGTAATCAGCAATGTTTGTAATTTTGGTTTTATATTAAAATTTAAATAATTATTTTTTTAATTACCAACAGAAAATTCGTAGCTAAATTCAACGTAAAGTTTGTAATGGATTTTCTGTTGTTAAAATCTATTGCTAATATTAAAAAAATAATATATATGTAATTCGTTGCAAATATGTTATTAAATTTAACAACAAAATTACCTGTCGCTAAATTCAGATGTTAATAGCCTCTGTTTTTAGCATTGAAACAAAGTGTGTGCGCTGATTCATCTAAAGGAGGAGGAAGAAGAAGATGATGATGGTTTGTACCGAAATAATTGAACTGAATCTAGACTACTTCACCACTAAGGATTGAAGAAACTGACCGGAGACATTTCATTGACCAATCGCCGAAGTTACTTTATGGTGGAGTTCCTCGCTCGTTGTCAAAATAATCATCAACTTCTCCAAGTGATTAGCCTTTCCCTTTTCCATGTGTGTTGTTCTTTTTTTAGATTAACGTGGGTGTCCGGGCCAGCTTGCGCGCACCATGACTAATCCCACGGGCCCTGAAGTTAACGACCATGTAAGCCTCCAGTGGCCATCATATGAGCAACCAAGGACTCGAACCTGAGACCATAGAGGGAGCAAACCCCTTGATCCCAAGTCCTTACCACTTGGCCACCACCTAGATGGTTCCATGTGTGTTGTTCTTGGGAGACTGACTGGTTCCCCTTCTCTTGGAAGTAGTCATGCTCCCATAGTTTTAATCATTGGATTGGCATAGAATATTGGACCAATACTGGTAGGGACGGCTTGGTACGGTGAAATTATATTTGTTATTGATGGCTTTACAAAATAGTTTTTATTTAAAAATATATTAAAATAATTTTATTTTATTTTTAAAATTTATTATTAATATTATTTTATCAAAATGATCTAAAAATATAAAAAATAAATTTAAATAAAAAACAAGATAATAATTTTTTAAAAAATATCTTAAAAATACAAAAATAAATATTATATTTTAAATGTCAGTTCGAAATATTTTTTTAACCATTTTCCTAATTTATAAGGAGAAGGGACACAACATATTTAGAAATTATAAATGAGTGGTTGTGATTCTATGCAAGATATTTTTTAACATATTTTTTATATAAAAATATATGAAAATAATATTTATTTTTATTTTTTAACATCAAAACAATAAAAAAAACTAAAAATATTAATTTAATTTTTAAATTTTTTTTTTATAAATAAAGTCTAACTACACTCTCAAATGGTGTCTAAAATCATTACCCCTTAATATGTTATTTCTCATTATTCTTATCATTCTTATTAATATAGTTTTCAAATTAGACCCCGGCTTGCATAAATTTACTTATAATCCAGTTGATTTAGGATCAAAATTAGATCAAATTTCACAAAAAATAAACAAGTTAGAAAAACTTTAGTGATTTAATGAAAAACCTGAATTGATATAGTTAAAAACTTGGTTGTAATTTATTGATTATTTATATTTTTTTAATAAAAATAATATTTTTTTGATTTATAAAAAATTAGAATCAATCTAAGATGATATAAGATGATATAGTAACTCGGTCCCAAAATAAACTTTAAAAACTCTACTTATTAAATCAAATTCCTCAATTGATAAATTGACTTGACTTAATGACTTATTAATTTAATTAGATTGATTACTTCTATTCCAATTAGGATATATAAACATTAACCTGGTTAGATTGGGAGTAGACTTGAAAATATAAATTCAAATAATATTTAATATCATCAATCATCATAAAATATTAATTAATATTTTATAAAAAAAATCATTGTTCACAATTTAGTAGATTTTTCTTTGAAATTTCGTTATTTACTAATCAAAATTTTCCATTTTAATCTTGTTTAAAGACAACAAAATTAATTGAAAAATAACAATGATATTCACGAAAGAGAAAAGGCTAAGTTTTAAGAAAATAAAAATACAAGGAATAAATATATAGTTTTTTAAACCGCATGGAATAATTAATTAGTCTTGTTAAATTACATGATTAAGTTATAATTATCTCCTTTTCCTAAACTGGGTGCCAAATTGAACTTCGATCAAAATTGAGTGGTGTATAAACTGAATACCCGAAACTCTTGGGCCACCAAAGGAAATTACACAAGAGACAAAAGTCCAGTTCCCATTTGTCAGTCCAACTCCTATAATCTCTCAAAAGAAGAGAAAAAGGTAGAGACACGGAAACCCACCACAACCAAACGACCAAACCATCAAGCCCCAACACAACATCACTTTCCATTGTTTTCTTGTTGTTTTTGTTCATAAAAGACTGGACTCTTTTTCTTGAATTCGCATTCTCGTTGCACCCTATTGTGGGTTCTGTCAAAGTCTGAGTCTTTGCTGGGGTTTTGATAAACATCATCAACTTGAAGAAGAGAAGAGAAGAAAAATAATGGAAATTGACACTAAAAGAGCGTCTGTTTCTCGTTTATCACCATTAGCTAAGCCTTTTATCCTGAAGACACCCAAGAACTCAAGCTCTGCCCGTAATTCTTCACTTCAAGATACCAGCTTGAGCCCTTCAAGTTCAAGGCTTGCTCAGTCTTTTTCAAGTTTCAGTGTAGAAGGTGACTCCTTTTCTTGTTATTCTCTATACCCATCTCGGGTTTATCAAGGTTCAGCCGATTTTGGTTTATTTACTGAGTCAAAGTCAGACTTGGATGCTCTCCCTGTAAGTAAGTCCGCTGAGCTTGGCTATAAGGCTCACAACAGTGGTGATCACCAAGAGATTCTTCACTGGAAGGATAAGCATGGTGGCTTTTCAGTGTCTAATGATCACCCCACCAAACAAGGTGTGCTTTAAGTTTCATGCTTTAGCCTACGTAGAATCTTGTTAGAGAATTGGTGGTGTAATTATTTCCCTTTAAAGCTCCTTAATTTTGATATTTTACTTGTTATGCATAGCGTAGGAGATTCTATTGAAAAACAGAATATGACTCGTTATGCATAATTTATCAAGAAAACCTATTAATTCTGGCATAAACTTAGCACTCTTGATGTTTAATTTTAGGCCATAAACTCAGACTTATTGTTTCTGTTGAAGACTTGAATAACTTCCATCCTTAGGAAAACCTTACATGTTGTTGGTAGGTCCCAAAATGGCTTAGAAAATGCGAAGAGTATTTACTGATTGATTGTTCATTTAAATGACTAGAGTTGCCCTGTATGGATATACTCTCTATATAGAAGTGTATATGATCAACATAAGAGTTGCCTTTCGCTTGAGACATTCTGTTGGGGTTTCAAAATCAATGAGATAACAGTACCGAAGGCGTAACAATATTTGGCATTTGGGCGTCACTAGCCTGCATCTGGGAATAACTAGCTTGCTGAACATTTTTATTTACCAGATTAGCATCTGCATGGTGTTTGTTCTGATGAGATGTAAAGTGCACATCATCATCAGTTACTACGAAAAGCAGAGGCAGGTGCTTTGGATAATCATGGAATGTTTGTTGTTGACAGTTAGGATCTGACATGCCAACTTTTCATATTTGCATGGCACAATTAGACCATGTTTCTTGACAAACAAAACTAGGTTTATTTTCAGAGGAAATTAAAACCTTTTCACTTAGAAATGAATCCACGTGATCTGTTTCATGTTCTTGCGATTGATCCATTGTTGATTCTGCATTCTTTTATTGTTAATTTTCCTGGAATAATCGTTTCTCGTTATCATAGATTTTCTATCAAGTTGCTCTCGTGTTAAAATACGTTTTATTCTGTTCAGTGAAGCAATTTGATCTAGTCTTTTCAATCATTAGTGGGTATGTGTTCAAATATGTTTTGCTCTTTTATGGATGAAGTAGTTTCCTTTAGCCATTTTGATTATTACTAGGTTCTGGCACGTTTATAAGATGTGGTGATTCTGGTACACCTTGAATTGATTAACTAAAGTGGTATGCATGTTAATGGATGAAATCTGTATCTTCAAGGATGGCTATAGGTCACAAGCTATTCATCCTCTCTGCAGGATCTCCTACTGAAGGATTGAAGCTGAGAGCAGAAATATCTGATCATGTGTGCAGAAAATTCAGTGGTATCTCTAGAAAGGATGATGAAGTCAGACCTAAAAGTACTAGGCAAACTGACACTCAATATGTCTCTTTTTCAGCGGTGACGTCAAGGCCAATCTCTTCTAAGTTTTCAACCTCATCAGATCTGAACTCTTCTGCCTTAGTTCAAGATCCTCAAAGCGGAGTTCCAGCCATATCTTGGAGCTCCAATGATCCCGACAGTGCTTCTTTTGAAAGAAGATTGTCACAGCAACTCGATGCATCTACAGCCCAAGTGAATTTTTCCCCTTCATCAGATAGCAATCCTTTGCGGGCTCTAGGTTCTGAATCATCAGGAGCTGGTTCAAGTTATTCGCCCTTTAATCATGCCTTGTCACAGAACCTAGATTCTGGTGGAGATGGTGGAGTCAGCAAGAGTGGCATTTTTTGGTATAGTCTAGCCAGTCTAGTAGATGCTGCTGTGGATAAAAGCAAGGAAGTTTTCCATGATAAAGTCCTGACAGATAAAAGCAAAGGAAAAAGGAGCAAACCTGCCACCCAAGAGGTTATGGAGCCCTTGTCAACGACAAAGTCTGAGCTGCAAATCACTTGTCCTAGTCATCCTATCGAGTTGGCTTCAAAATCCCCTGGTGTTAAAGAAAGTGATCCTATTGGAAACTCTTCTGAAATAATTAACGAGAATGATTCTGATTTGGATTCTCCTTGTTGGAAAGGAAAACTTAGTGCTAATCAATCAACCTGTGAAGTTTCTAGACCCGATAATTTTCAACATCTTAAAAGTGCTCGAGGAGCTTGCAGCAATTTAAATCCTCTCGCGCCTCATTTTTTCCCTAGCCGTGGCAAACAGAAAGTAAATTACTGTGGAACTGAATGTGAAGGAGATGATTATTTGACTTTTCTGAAGACTGAATCTTCTGCGGTTAGTTTATTCTCCATAGAACATACACTACAAAAACCTGGTACAGCTGGATCATCTTCTTCGGATCGGAGCAGTATTACTGAGACACATTGCTCTATTGACAATCATGTCCACAGTAAGGAATATGAGCCATTCACCAACTCTAGTAGTAGCTCCATGCTCAGCTCATCTTGTGTGGTTCAACCATCCATTTTGGAAGATTACTTCACTTCCAGTGGCCAGCTTCTGACTAGGCAAAAGGTTGGAGGATCTGGGAAGGTTACTGAGGATGCAGTACCTATTGGCTCAACTAGCGTGTCTTTGCTTGCAAGCAAACATGTCAGGCCCATAAGTACTAGTCAAATTGACTCTCAACATGTCTCGTTTTCGGCTGTGATTTCTAGGCCAATCTCTTCTAAGTTTTCAATTTTATCAGACTTGCACTCTTCTACCATAGTTCAAGATCCTCAAAGTGGAGCTCCAGCAATATCTTGGAGCTCCAATGATTCTGACATTGCTTCTTTTGAAGGAAGATTCTCAGAGCAACTCAATGTTTGTGCAGCCAAAGGGAATTCTTCCCCTTCATTAGATAGCAATCCTTTGCAAGCTCTAGACTCTGAATCATCGGGAGCTGGTTCAAGTTATTCGCCCTTTAATCATGCCTTGTCACAGAACCTAGATTCTGGTGGAGATGGTGGAGTCAGCAAGAGTGGCATTTTTTGGTATAGTCTAGCCAGTCTAGTAGATGCTGCTGTGGATAAAAGCAAGGAAGTTTTCCATGATAAAGTCCTGACAGATAAAAGCAAAGGAAAAAGGAGCAAACCTGCCACCCAAGAGGTTATGGAGCCCTTGTCAACGACAAAGTCTGAGCTGCGAATCACTTGTCCTAGTCATCCTATCGAGTTGGCTTCAAAATCCCCTGGTGTTAAAGAAAGTGATCCTATTGGAAACTCTTCTGAAATAATTAACGAGAATGATTCTGATTTGGATTCTCCTTGTTGGAAAGGAAAACTTAGTGCTAATCAATCAACCTGTGAAGTTTCTAGACCTGATAATTTTCAACATCTTAAAAGTGCTCGAGGAGCTTGCAGCAATTTAAATCCTCTCGCGCCTCATTTTTTCCCTAGCCGTGGCAAACAGAAAGTAAATTACCGTGGAACTGAATGTGAAGGAGATGATAGTTTGACTTTCCAGAAGACTGAATCTTCTGCGGTTTGTTTATCCTCCACAGAACGGACACTTCAAAAAACTGTTACAGCTGGATCATCTTCTTCAGATCAGGGCAGTATTACTGACACGCATTGCTATATTAACATGCATGTTCTGAATAAGGAATATGGCCAACTCACCAACTCTAATAGTAGCTCCATGCTTAGCTCATCTTGTGTGGTTCAACCATCCATTCCGGAAGATTACTTCATCTCTAATGGCCAGCTGCTGACTGGGAAAAAAGTTGGAGGATCTGGGAAGGTTATTGAGGATGCAGTATCTATTGGCTCAACTAGTGTGTCTTTGCTTGCAAGCGAACATGTCACCAGTTCATCTTCCTGTAGAGTTGGTGTTTCTTCTGCTTTAAGTGAAACATATGGGCTTGTAACTAAGCCTTTGTGCACACATCCAAAATTGGATATTCAAATAGTGGTTAAAACAATAAATCAAGTGTCAAAATTGCTTATGCAAAACTGCTCATATGATTTAGATTCTCTGAATGAACATGAACATGATATAATGAAGCGCGTTGTCTGTAATCTTAATGCGTGTATCAGAAACAGGGTTCAAGAGCATCCTCTGACTTCTGAATAGTCATCCTCACGCTTCATATTGTGTTGTGAAAGCAGCTGATCTAAACAAGGTATGGATTTTTTGGTTTCTAAAATTAGTGGATCTGATTCGAGGTGATGAAAAAACTTCACTTTCTACAGTAAATTCTTTCTCGACTTCCATTTAGCATATTCAGGCTGCTAATGGGTTTTGGAATGGTTATAAATTTTGCATAATGCTTATTGTGGAATTATCAAGGCTGTCTTGCTATAGTCAAGTAGGCAATGGTTTGTGCTATTAGTAACAATCAAGTTCACTGTTTCATTTTTCTTGAGAATGGCTTTTGTTTGATACCTTCATCACCCACAACCGATATGATTTTTGCACAAAACTTTGTTTATTCATATTAATTGCTGTCTTCCTCCATGAAAAATAACTTGTGTCCTTCTGGTTTATAGTTGAAGGATGATTTTTTTTCTCATTTTGTGCTTTGGTTTTTCCAGTGTTGCTTTTGATATCTCATCTGGCCATTCATTTTTACTTGCTGAGAACCTGAATAATGTCTTCAGCAGTGCTGGAACATGGAACTTCAAGCGAAAAGGGAAAAAGCTGTGATAGTTTCCCATGAGCTTGGCCATCAGAAGAAAGCATGAAAAGCAGAAGAGTTGTTCTACTGATTTCAGGGATAGATTCTTGGATTCTTTAAAGGCAAGGAATGAATGATTCAAGAAAAGTGAATACATTAAGCAGCCAAATCTTTGCATTCTTTGTTGTTGATTCAGGCCATTGAGGAGGTTCTGGAAGGACATCAACAACTTGAGGAAGAAGATAACCCTCAAGTTTTGCTCTACAAGAACTCGTGGCTTGAGGCTGAAGCAGCTCTTTGTACCATGAAGTATAAAGCTTGTGTCTTGGGTATGAAAACTGAGATGTAATAAGTAAAGATGGCAGTGAGGTGAAAGATATAGTAATTACCTGAGCTCTCTCCTGAGGTCTTTTGATGCAACCTTCTGCTCTCCCTTGAGTAGAGTAAATGCTCTTGTTCAAACAATCATATGCTTCAAGCTGACCCCTTGAAGTGGGGAAATATCACTAGGCTACAGAACCTAGCATCAAAAGCCCTTGACATAGTGTTTGGTTAGTTGTCGTTTAATTTGTTTTATGCTTCGTTTTGGAAGTCTGTTTTTGGTGAACTGATTTAGTTTTGCATTTTGACTTGCTCCCATCCCTTTGTGAATTTGTGACCCGGCAACAGTTTCTTGCTATGGGTCTGGCACCATATTTGCCCTGCAGCTTTTAATTAGAAGAGCCCAAATTACACGGCTTTAGAGTTAAAGATGCATCCACCAGGGCTTTTTGTATGAACCCTCTTAATGATAGCCCTTATTTTTCTATCTCAATGGCCTAGCTCTGTTCCTACATGGGCTTGAGAGATACCACCATGGCGTATCCCATCATTTCTTGTTTTTACCTTCTGGTATGAAATAGCTGAATCCAAGCACTGCCTGGCTGGTTACACAAGTAGCTTAACCGATTTCCGCATGTATGTGACTCATGGCAGAGGAGTGATATCACATAGGATACCAACAGTACTTTAGGAAAGCAGAAAGTAGTGGAGTCATAGCATCTGGAGTGGCCTTGCCACGTTGACTCTTCAGTTTCACCACCACATGATATCGGTCACATGGGAGTGCCAGGTTTCAATCCATCCCAAGCACACGCTGAAAAGCTGACTGACATTGTATGCACACTGCCACTGAAACATGGGCCTGAAGCCTCTAATTTGTGCACATCAGCATGATTTATCAACACAGCTGAAAATGAACCAGCAAAAAAGTTCAGAAGAATAATATTTGCTCTCATGTCAAAGGGATCCGCGAATGCTTTTCATAAATGGTGTATTCCTTCTAACCATGTATTGCTCATTGTGCTTTTCATCACAGTCCATGCTCCTTGTATTTTCTTTATATAAAGAACATAAGATGGAAACTCCATGGCCAGAGATTGGAGAGGTAGGAGCAAGCAAGGCCATTTATCTCTCATTTACTGTGGAGTGGTACCACAATATCAAGTGCTTTAGCCAGGCTTACATTTTGCATGCCCACTTGGACTTTGAAAAGTACAAGGACAACCCATGAAGTCGCTCAGCCACAAGGACAAATGTGACAAGTCACTGTAAGGGGGGACCTTTACCTTATCAATTTGTTACCACGTACCATAACTCCAAAATATGCAAGTATCAGTATTTAGTTTCAGAGTCGGTAATTTAGCCAAATACGATAAAAACTTACTTTTACTACGAGATAAACTCGACTTAAATATAACATTAGTATTACATATAGATATTTAAAACATTTATATTTGTTTAATCTTGTAAAATACACTAATAATAATATATGTCTGATAAATAAAGTATGAATATCTAAATTCAGACTGGTGAATAGCCATTGTTATCCCTACTTAATTAATTTATCCTAATTATAATGTTTGCACCTAAAAGAAATCAGAAACTGTATAATCATTCAAGGATCGATGCTGAGCACATGAGAAGAGAAAAAAACCTTTGCTCTCTCTCTCTCTCTCTCTCTCTCTCTCTCTCTCTCTCTCTCTCTCCATATGGTTCACATGGTCATATACTTTTTAATCATTATTTCATGAAACCAAGTAATATATTCTATAGTTATCATCACAAAGCTGGTGGGGTAAGATAAAGGAACAGAAGGAAGCAAGCAGGAAGAGCTGATGGCAGGGGTAAATCAACAATGGAAAAGAGAAGAAAGAGTATACAGTAGACACAAGAGAGGGACTCTGTGACTCTAGCTAAGGAGAGTGAAGACAAAAAAAAAAAAAACGAAAAACAAAATGGGGTGAAGGAAGAGACGAAACAGGAAACGTCAGGGGATTGGCCAGCTGAGCCTTGAAAAATTTTCATGTTCGATTCTGTCTTTAAAAATATTTTTTAAAAATTTAAATTTTAAAATTTATTTTAAATTAATATATTTTTAACATTTTAAATATTTTGATGTGTTATATTAAAAATATTTTTTAATAAATAAAAAATATTATTAATATATATTTTAATATAAAAAATTATTTAAAAAACAATTATAATCGTCTAATAAACAAGCTAAATTTAAAATTTATTTTTAATATTTATATATTAAAATACATTTATATATATATAAAAGCTGATAACCTAGAGCAAAATCTTAGCACGCGGCATTGAACGAGGGAGATCCATGCATGTGTAGGACAAAAAATATTAGCCCTATCCCATCACGGGGGGTCAGAGATTTCTGAGAAAAATTTAGCCACCCATCCCAACCAACCCCATAATTATTATCATCTCCTCCTTCCTTCATTCATCTCACATCACAGAATGCATTTTTATATGCATCTTTTCAGTCTACTCCTTCCAAGTAATAATTAATTTTGCTATTCATTTCATACTTCTGAGCCCAGCTCCGCACATGAACTTGTCCATGGTATAATAATGAGTTAACTCGTGGGTCAATAAGTTGTCAACCACAACCCTGTTAAAATAAAGAAACTCGTTGGGATCTAGTTTGGTAGTCAACGGGCAACTCACAAAGAACAAGCTAATTAATTTAGGTTTCATACATGATCAAGATTTAAACTCAGTGAGCAAAAGCTAATCAGAGCAAAAGCTATCTTCGAAAATGACATTTTTACACACATATATATATACATGATGTATATGGATTTCCTTTATCTTTACGGCTGTTTTGGAGGGGGCGTGTGAATCTATAATGAGATGTTGCTGTCAACACCGCCCTATATAATTGTGGTTGTTTTCTGGGATCTGCTGCCACCCTTTGCAGCAGACTGGCAATATTGTTAATGCTATGCCATAATTATAATATGAAAGCCGTATATAGCTGCAAGCACTGAATATATATATATATATAGCTTTACTTCCTTTTCTTTTCTCTCTGTGCTACCTGCTCTCTTCTACTTCTGCTTCTCTTCTTTTTCTGCTGCTTAATCCCTTTCCCTTCAAGTTCATATGATCCCATAACGAAACCAAAAGGTAAAAAGTACTGTGTGATCCCTTATATATATATATGTATATATCCTAGCCATTCATTTCTTGACATGTTCATTATCAAGACAGTCCAGATTCTATATGTTGTCCATTTTAGCTTTTAAGGGACATGGAATATTCAGTGTAGAATGGGGAAAGAAAGCGTGACATGCTCCTTACTTTCTTCTTTCTATCACTCTTTAATCCTTTCCTGTTCTTCTTTAACACTTTACAGCATAGAAATATAAATAAAAAGTAAAGAAAGTTAGAAGAGGGTCTTTTCCTCTTTACCATTCATATTTTTTTTCCCAACGATGATGCATTTTCAATACTGTTCATGCAATAAGAACTGGCTAGTGTGAATTTGTTTTTTCTCATGGATTTTTCCAAAATAATAATGTGAATAGCAAGCCCTTTTATGCCTTAAATCGAGTACTCGTAATAAATTATTATTTTTGGATTGAACCCAACAAAAAAAAAAAAGAGGCTCGAGAGAGAAACTGACAAAGATTATTATGAAACATTTGAGATTTTTTGGATTGAATCCAAAATAATAAGGTGAAGGGCAAACCCCTTTATGGCCTTAAGCAACTATTAACAGTAAAAAGTAATTTACTCTTTAACATCCATAATAGAGTCAAAAGAAAAGATGGGTATGGTATGGTATGGTATGCTATACAATCACGGGGAATTATATGCATTACAAGCAAAAAAGAATATAAATAAATAAATATCAAACGTGGTCCATGCAATTCTAGGGAGTGGGAGCACCGAGGAGAGTGCACGTCCTCACTCGTCTCTCTAGAATAATATATGCAAGAAATGAAGCAAAAAAAAACTTATAGAAAGAGAGAAATATATGAAGACCATGGATTAAAAACCACGGAAAACTACTTTTCTCTACTATTTCTTTCTTTATTTTCGTCATTGATTCCGCCTATGAACCCTAACCCTAGTACCCAATCTCTTTCTAGCTAGAGTGGGGACGTCTTTCTCTCTATATATCCTAGGTTTATGTGTTAGAGAACTTGGCATCTACCTAGTTTATTTTCATTACTTTATTAATCAACAACCTTCTTGTGTACGCAGTTGCCATTGGTGGCTCCTTAACTAGTTTAAACCCCTTCAAAATAGACGATTACCTTGCATAATCACGCACCACAAACAGTGATGAAGCAAGCATTTTAATGTTGCTCCGGAAATATTAAGCTCTAGATTAATTAGGTTTTAGTGATAGGACAAGTCGTTTTTTGGAATCCATTTAGGAATTAACTAGCTAAAAATTAAACAAGAGTGGGGCTACAAGGTCTTTGGTTAATTTAGCTGTCTAAGTCATTCAATCCCAATTCCCAACCAAGTGAATGTAAAAAGTGTACAAAGTGCTGCTATGGATCAGAGAACAGTTTTCTAACTTGATGAAATTGACGGCATAAAAATAGCAAGAGATTGTCCAAAATATTGATGGGGTTGTTGCCTCTCTGCTGTGGTGGCTCTGTGGTCTAGAGTAAGTACTTGACCACTGGTTCTAGGGCAGCCCTCCCTAGCTGTGCATTATAATCCATACTAATCAATAAACTGAGAGGTCTCTTTCTGGGTGGTTTCCTACAAACCATGTAGAGATTCTAGATGCTATGGCCAGCAGAGCTCTGGACCCTATCCTGTGCATCTTTTATGTACATGCAGTGCATGACGAGTCTATGTGAAAGAGTGTGCTTGCCTATCTAACGCCTAGAAATCCATCAACAACTAGCTTATTGTAGCAAAAACGGCACAGCCATGTTCACTCATCTTCTGATTTCGGATTACAGTTTTTTTTTTTCAAACGTTTTTTAAAAATATTATTTTT